CAAATGTGATTCTGGTTTTTGTGACTTTGTAAAGTTTTTAATGTAGTTTCTAAATATGTAATTCTTTTTTTCTAAAAATAATTTGAGTGCGGATAGAGATCCATTTACTTTATCGTCGGTCAAACATCGTAAACCGGAAAGTGACTTACAATTCGGGACGGATGGAGTATTAGTGATTATAATCGTGTTAAAACTTACATTATAGAGACTTACATATACTTACTATAACTATAATGTAAATTGTGTACATAATAATATCACTAATAGTTACTCCCTCCGTTCCTAAATAAACTTCCAACTTTCCTTTTTCGTTCGTTCCAATTAAAACTTCCACTTTCCCTTTTTGGTAAAGAATTTGTGGTTCACAACATTTCTTACGCATTTCTCTCTCTTCTGCACAACTCTCCACCACACAATATCCACTATCTTAAACTTTGTGCCAAACCCATTTGGAAGTTAAAATGGGAACGGAGGTAGTACTGATTAGTCACCTGTTTGTCCAACACTTTTCCAGAGTAATAATAACTTGAGTTTTTCTTAAAAAATACTTAATTAGACTATAAACAAACCAATTGAACATTTATGATGTTTTTAAATGGATTATAATTTTATGATCCAAATTGTTTAAATTTGATCTGGTCTAAAAAATGTCTATTTTATATGTATTTCATAACTGTTGAACTTTTGTCTAAATGTCAATGTATTTAAGTTTGATATGACATGAAAATCAGTTGAATTAAAAACATTTAAACTTAATGTATATCTTTTTTTTATAAACTATCTTCAGAGTTTCGCAAGTCCAACTAGTTTTAAATTATGTGCTCTCACAGTACTATTCTATAGAATTACTTTTCATTCTCTCCCTCTGACTAATTCCTTAAGGCTGATATTTGGAACTTTTGAGAGAATTACTTTTCATGTAATCCCTTTAATTTTTTATTGTTGAGTGGAATTGATTCTTCATCACCCGTGCAAATTAGATATACTTCCATTAAATGGAGACTTAAATCATTTGACTAGTTATTTTGTAGTTGTCAATGGGATACAAAATTAAATATTCTCTCTATATTTACTTTTATGGGAAAGTGGTTATTATTTTATGTTTATCTATAGGGGATCGCCACCCCTATGAGACTCTATATAAGGGGCCCATGCCTAAAAATTTTAAGACCCCATTGAAGGATACAAATAGGCCCTAAAAAGGCATCCCTTTTAATTTTGACTTTTCATCCAGACAAAAGATGATAAGAAGTCACAAATGTCATGCGTATGAAAAATTAATTTAGTAGTCATACTTATCCAACCACATTAGCGCCCTTGAATTTTGAAGTTCAATTCCCCACCTATCGTCCATGAGGTCCATCCATTCAGGGCAGGCCCTCCCAAAACTAAGACCTCTACATTCAACAATCACATTCATCTACTAGTACTACCTCCGTCCCGCTATGATGATCCCATTTTACCATATTGGTCTGTCCCACTAAGATTGTCTCATATTAAATTTGGTAAAGTTTGTGTGGCTCTAAATCATTCTTACTTTATTCTTACTTTATCAATTCAATATCAACCACATAAATCACTTTTATTAATTTATGTGTCACTTCCTCTTGTCTCATTGTTAGCGGGACGGAGGGAGTATTTGTTTATGGAGGGGTTTCAAAATAATATTTATTGACAAAAAATGATTATAATCGTTGTAAAAATTTTATTATGATCATAATTGCGCAGAATTGACTACAATATTAAAGTCACATTTTGATCCATGATCTTCATTGTAGTCATGTATTAGTCATTGTTTCTATTTGATTTGTAAACATTAGATCAACTTAGATCATTTATTAGTTGAGTAAAGAAGAGCGGAAACACAAAAAACGTAAGATTTTTTAGTAAAGAATTGTGTGGGTAATGCGAGATTACCCACATAATTATTAATGACTAATAAATAAATGTGGATGATGGGGGTAGGAAAGGCGTTTCAAAACACGCCAGCACCTAACCAAATAAAATTGATACACATACCATTTCATCCCCAGTACGAATTGGTGTTATCTATCTACTGCACCAAACAAAGTCGCATAGTGCAGTTCAACAAGAACTGAGTAGTTTCTATCAACTTATTATTGATGTGGAATTTCACTTTACATTTATAGTCAATGTTTTCCTACCAAATCAGGTACTCCACCACTCATTCATTCACTTTTGCACACAAAAGTTGAGATCTTCCCACATCAAGCCTCCCCACACCTGTCTCATAGATGGGTATATCACGGTATGATTTTAAATAATCCCGCTTATAAGCGAGTAATTTTACATAATCCCGCTTGTAAGCGAGCAATTTGCATTGACCCCCAAGTCGTACTCATTTGTGTCTATTTTTATCAATGGTCAGTCCTTTCCGTACTTATTTTTGAATTGACCCCCAAGTTCTTAAATTTGAAAGGGCTAGTTTGGTGTTGCTATTATACTTTGTACAATATTGAATTGTGTATAGAATGTACCAACTGCATTTGGAAATATAGTCCGTTTGGTAAATGAGGGTAAAGAGTTATTAGTGCACGTAGATTTGTATAGTACTAAGGATTTGTAAGTCTACTTTTAATTTAAACTAATTAATAATCCTAATTTCCTTTTTCATTCGTTCAAAAATAATCTTCACTCTCTCTTTTTGAAAAAAAAAATTATGATTAACAACATTGCTTACTCATTATTACATGTTTATCTCTTTTCCTTCGTCCAAAAACTTGTACAATGTTTTTGAGAGATTTTCTGTTAAGAAGAGCTTGAAAAGTGAAATTAAACTATAGGAAGTGGAGTATCTTTTTAGGGAAACTTTTATATGTAGGAGTGGGCTTCTGATTCCAAAGTAACTTGAAAAGACCTAAAAGGAACCGAGTTTGAGAACCTCTTGAGAGACGGAGTGGTAGCACACACAGATGTCTGGTAACGATCATGCGCTAAAAGGTTTGTATAGGAGATGAGATGGACAAGTGAACATATCTGAAGAACAAAATATAAGATATTTTCTAATATTTGCACAAAAAACATATATACTTCCTCATATATGATAATTATAGGGATGTTTGTAAGTAAATTCATTGTAATTCCAGCTCAAATTAGATCAGACCAGACTAGATTAAATAAATCAATATAATTACATTTAAAATGTTGTAAAATACATGTACTACGATACATTATTTATCAGACCAAATTAAACAATATCAAAATAGAATAGAGATCAAACCAAACATAAACATATATCTTATCACAAAATTTATATTCAAGTGCAAACAAAGAGTTATACTCCATATAGGGTATGTTTGGCAAATGGCTTATCAGCCAGCTTTTAGCTTGTTTGACCCATTTCAACTGTTTGATAAGTCAAAGAAGCTAATAATAATGTTTGGTAAATGGCTTTTAAAATTAGCTTGTTGAGTTTGAAAAGCTGAAAAAATGGATTGTGGAAGAAGCTAAGGGGAGCAGCTTCTTCATTTGGCTGGTTCAATTTACACTCTATCAGCCATTTCGAAAGAGCCAATTTTACCAAACAATTATTTATAATCAGCCAACATAACCAGTCGGTCAAAACATCTAACACAACCAGCTGTTGCGAAACAGCTGACACAACCAGCTACCAGCAACAGCTAACAACCATTTACCAAACAAGGCCATAATATTACATTTAAAATGAATTAGTTTTAGGGAAAATGGAAACTAATAATCCGTCCTTTTAGCGGTCTTCTTACAATAGTCCCACTTTTTCATTATCCAGGAATAATCCAACCTTTGCACCTCATCTTCATTCAATGGTCTCTGACCGGTTGATGATCTGTTATTCCAAGTTATTTTCTTATCTTTGCAAAACATTATGTGATCATAATGTGGGATTTATGGTATAATATACTACGTATTACAAATATAAGAAAATAACTTGAAATAACAGATCATCAATCGGTCAAAGACCAACGAATGAAGATGGGCGCCAAAGTTGTATTAATCTTGAATAACTAAAATGTGAGGCTATTGTAAAAGTACCATTAAAAGGTTGATTATTAGTTTTCATTTTCCCTTAGTTTTATACCACGTACTTATTAAATTACACATTCCTATTTTTCAACATAGTATACGTAATCGCATTCGACATTTATTTTAGTGACTATTGAGCTAGCTAGACTGCTAGAGTATGAAAGTATATGATAGCATTTGGATTCGTAGATAGGAAGATATAGCATTTTTCCAACACAAGCTACATTACATTCTTATTTTACAAAACAGACATTGAGCATAATTGTTATACAAAGGGTAGTGTACATTCTAATTCATCCTACTCCCTCTTTTAATTTGGCAAATATTTGTTATTCCTTTATTATTATTCCGTGCAACGTAGTCACTTGATTAGTTTTTTTCGTATTAATGAAATTTGGGTTCTTAATTATTCACTACAAAAAAATACGGGATTAACACGGAATTTAGCACGGATTTATCAATTTTTCGTGCCAAATAGCTCGTGCCGAAGTATTTTTGACACGGATTTGGCATACCTCTGCCAAAATCCGTGTCAAATCTCTGCCAAAATCCCTGTCAATCCCATGTTTTTTTGTAGTGATTACGGAGTATATCATGATTTAAATACGTCTTTTTAAAACATAATAAGCAGTCCATGAATATATTTTTATTTTAGCCTGATAACATAAATGATAACATATTCTTATACATAAACAAACAAACATGGTTTTTTTAATTAACATTTTACCGATTGAAAAGTAATAAATGTTAAAAACCGAATATGATGTCCAAAGAGTATTCATTTTCACACTCAAACCTCAGAGTTGTTTATTTTTTCAAACAAGCCATTTCTCTAAAATCACATTTCAAGACTTTAACGGAGGTAACGGCATTTGTGTGTCGAGTCTATGTCGACACTACTTTTAAAAATGGAAGAAAAAGAACTTTAATTAAGAACGTAGTTCTTTTTAGGTAATAATAATTTGTTCTTAATCTGTTTTTAAGTCATTTTCTCTGAATAGAAATAACTATTCAGATTATTTATTAAATACAGAGGATATATATCAGTAAGTACAATTTATAATAAATACTCATTCCCAAAATGGTAAAATCAAGTTTCCACCATAGGGATGATAGAACTGATTTAATTTATAATGTTAACTTCATAACGCATGGATAGCATGCATGTTAATACATTTCATTTTCACCCATAACAGCATTGATTTATACGGATTTAAAATAGAGAGAAAAAACAAAATATGGAAGCGGAAATTTTGAAAATTAAACAAAAAAATGGAAAATTCCTAGCTTCCTTAGAGATGATGTTAGTGGAATAGATTTCTCAATCTTCGAAACCGGTTTTCTTCCAAATCGCGTTGCGGACCCTACTCAGGTCTCTTCCCTTGAGGGTGCGCCCTACGCCTTCGTGCACCGAGAAGGAGGCGATCCTGGACCTCGCCAACTGCTGCCTCACCAACTCATGCGGCGGAATCCGATCGCCGCCGTCCTCCTCCTCCACGTCATCGTCGCTGTCCCGCTGCCGGTTCTCCCTGTACTCGTCCTTGAGAATCTTCGACCAGTCCGGCACGTTCACCGGCAGAGACCCCGATGAAACGCCGCCGCCTACAAAACCCCCGCCGCCTGCGGCGGACGATCTCCTGGAGATCCGAGAGCTCGAAATTGCCTTCCGCGGTTCCGGAGAGGCGCGCCGGCCGGTGCTCCAGACGTCGGACTCGTCGAGCTCGAACATGGAGTCGGCGGAGATTGGGGCGTCGCAGTCGGCCGCCGGGAGGAAGCGGTAGTTGGACCTCGTCGTGAAATAGCTGTTCGATGCCGCCATAGCGAAATTGGTCACGAATTCATACACAGAGACTGGTGAATATATAGAGGAACGGAGATTGAGATGCTCCGTGAAATGAATTTAGGTATGATGATACAGTAAATTTGAATGATGATGGTTCTTCCTGCTATGGAGTCACACCAGCTAGAATCAATGAATTCACCTTACCCTATTTCTGACTCTCTGTATCTGTATTCTGCTATGCTGCTTAAATGGCTGCTCTGCTCTCTCTGATTGAGGTCTGCTCTGCTTTTATAGATCTTCCAATGGATAAGTTTGAAGTTTCATACTCTCTCACCTTTGCTGTAATAGAAAAATGAATTACATAAACTAAAAAGTTATACTCTCCCCTCCAAATTTGATAATCTGATTTCTTTTGGACACAAGTTTTAATAAAATGGTTGAAAAAGTAATAGTTGTGGTTGAGATTTGAGTATGATAAAGAGAAATGATATAGATCACATCTTTCTTTTCAAAAAGGGAAACATGATCATCATTTTGCGTAATTCCAAAAAGGAAATACAGGATTATCATTTTGGGACAGAGGTAGTACTCCAGATACTCCGTTATTAATTGAATTGTAATTTTTATTTAGTACTACTCCGCTGTCTCACAAAGTTTTTTCCAAAATAATGCTAACTAAAACAATATATATGAAATTAGTACCATGTTAAAACTATTTACCAAAATACTACTCCCTCCGTCCCATATTTAACTCTGGGTTTGACCGGGCATGAGTTTTAAGATAATGGGATTTGTGTGGTGGAGAGTTATGCAGAGGAGAGAGAAACGTGTAAGAATGGTTGTGAATCACATATTCTTTACCAAAAAGGGAAAAAGGAGATAAATTTGGGACAGACCGAAAAAGAAGGAACGAAGATAATTCCGGGACGGAGGGAGTAATGAAATAAATCCTAGTTAACCAAAGTCGTCAAATCACTTGACGATAAATTGGCAAGTCATCCTCTTCCTAACAAACTAAAAACCTTAATTTTTTTGATTTTATATATTGAATATTGATGTCATATGAAAGGTAATAAAAAGTTATGAATTTTGATATATTTTTTATGAAAAAAAAATTATAAATAAAAAACTTACTACTATTTTTGAAAAAGAAGGATTTTTTATGTGTGGGTGCATGGACTATTTCTATTGGTGAGCTCCTTTTTAGTAAAAAAAAGGATGACACCTCATCCCCGAAGGCCCCCCAAACCTGATCGGACGGTATGTTGAGAGGATGTAAATTGGACTATAATCCTAATCTGACAGATAGAGAGTGGGCTCTGTCCCCGATACTTGCAGAGACCCTATGCATTTTTAGCATAATAACTCCTCATCGCAGATGCCGGAATTCGATCCCGAAACCTACCTTTGTGGCACTCCCTTGCTACGAGTTAAGCTACGCCCACCGGTAGCTCCTTTTTAGTTTGTTGGGTGTTTGGGTGCGTGAGGTACGAATTTAAGAGTAAGTCGTCAACTCATTAACTGGGATTTATTTGAGCAGTATTTTGGTAAATAGTTTTAACTCAACTCTAATTTTGTATATATTTGTTTATTTAACATTATTTTGAAAAAAAACTCGTTCTATTTTTCTATTTAGGTAATTTCAAAATAAATGTCATATATTTTTATTTTTCAATACAACATATGATGTATAACATTTATTTTACTTTACTCAAATTTCTATCACAAACTTTTTATTTACTTGATTAGTAATTGTGACAAATCAAAGTAGGCACATAAATCAGAAAGGATAGTGTATACCTAATATACGAATTTGGATCCTCTCCATTAACCGGATAGTTCCATTATGAGAGAGATAGAGAGGAGAAAATTAAGAGTGGGGTATGTTGGTGAATAGGATAGAGAAAAAAGGTAGAGATGAATAAGAAGTGAAAAGGAAATTGAGGGAAAATGGAGAAAGAAATGGAGAGGAGCTGCACCCATAATATACAATCCGTGATTGTGTAAGTATTGTTGTATACTCCGTGCTCCCTCCACCCCATTTTACTTACCTAATCTTGACTTTTCAAGTCAATGAAGTCTAACTTTGACCGATTATATGTTTATATAGAGAAAATATTAATAATATGAAAATGATATGAAAATGTATTTTGTTAAAAATACTATCATAAAAGTATAAAATTATTAATTTTTGCATAAATTTATTAGTTTAAATAATTAGTCAAAGTTTATCATCTTTGACTGGAAAAATCAAAGATGGTTAAGTAAATTGGAACGAAGAGAGTATGAAAGTGCTAGGACATATTCACTTTGAATTTATTTTCATCAATTTCACCTTATCAACTTGACAATTTTTTTTATGATAAGTACTTTCGATTTCATATTTTAGTTGTGTAATAATTTAAATAAAAAATCGAAGTTATTTTTCTAATTAAATTTATTAAAATGAGTAGAGATGACTATTTTAATTATTTTCATACGGAGTACAAATTTTTACAATTTTATTAGTAAAAATATATTTTAAACACAATTTATCATAATTTAGCGAATTCAGCTTCACTCATAGTTCCAACATTTTCAGTGAATCTAGCTAATTTATTGATTATCACGTTATCAAATGGTTCTAATTATATAAATTCGAGTCAAATTATCATCTGTGTGTTTATATTTGTGTAGAACTAGTAAATTAGGAGAGAAAAGAGCCAAAATGATCAATTCTCTGCATTTCTTATCTCTGATGTCTGCAACATCGACCTGGCGAAATCACTATTCTATCCCTCGAAATATTCGAATGAATAAAAGTTCCAGCTCTTATTCATCTACTCGAGGGTCCCTTCTCGTTTAAAATGTTTTGCTTATCTGGCACGTCAATTTTTTTGTATTTAAATAAATTAATTAATTGATAGATAATTAATTCGACGTGTCCTTGAAACCTACGAGTAAATTGTACTCCGTATTCCGCATCGTGCATCTCTTTCCGTCCCCATTCTATCCCGAAATCCATATTCCCAATAAAAAGGTCACTTAATTAACAACAAAACAAAACTAAGCTTTCGTTGAAAATTGATACTGCGTGTGATTTTCCAATATAAAACCCTGTAGTTTCAGCGATTTCTATTGTATGGAGTATTTTATATATAAGTAATATCACAGTTTAAATAACAATATAAAAGAATTTTGTTAATAGTCTATTGTCCCAATATCTTGTCTTATTTAAGTTATCTTTAGCATTTCGTCTTTCTCGTAAAAAGTATTCAAAGTTAAGTATGTGAGCAGTGCAAATGTTGAAGTGTTAAATAACACTCGAAGTACCATATAAGTACTACTTAGGAGTTTAAAATGTTTTTACTTGAATTAGTTTCAGTCATATAAGATATCAAAATCAGATGAGACTTATAGAAATAAACCATTTGACTTGTCCTTTTTCACTATCCACTGTTGACCCATTTTTCACATCATTGATCCCATATTTTGATCTCTTTCTCACAACGGTATGGAATTTAGGCAAGGGTAGTTTACACCCAAACTAACTATTCTTTACATTTTTAGTAGCCTCAAGGCTCACACGTACTTAGCTTACCAATTACATTTCACTTGTAAGATGAAATAAGATTAAAAATAAACTAAAGAGCATTTATGCGCCTTGAAGATTAATGTAGACTAAATTGTAAGAGGAGATTACCAAGCATATGTTTGTAATATTATTCTACACGCCTAGCCCCCCACCCCACCACTATATAATAAAGGGGAAAATTATTTTTTTGTGGGACAGAAACTGATTTTAAAATTAAATAGAATTGGAATAATGAGGCAATATGATGTAACAAACTCTAAATCATTGACATTAGGGGCGATGCTAAAGGTGTATTGGAATGGATTGGTACAAAAATCCATGTTGATCGAATAAACTTTAAAAATAATTTTTATACAACGATGATCAAAAGATATATTGAAATTTAGGGTGGACAATGCTTAACATGTCACCCTATCTCTTCCCCGTGATTATCACCCTCCCTACACTACAATAAAACATCTTTTTTTTCACGGATTTTTGTCACGGAGTAGTGTAAATTATCAATTGGAGTCCCTCGGAATGAATGTTTAAGAAATGTGAGTCTATGTCGAGTTAAATGTATCATGCTGTTGAACAATTAAAGAAGTATTGTTTTGGCGTTTAATAAAAAAGTACGCCCTTCGATCTTTAATTAACTTTACATTTTCTTTTTTGGGTCGTCCAATATTAAACTTTACACTTCCTTATTTGGTTTATTTGACAAGCAAATCTACACCAAACAGTGCCAAACAGTGTAATTTAAAGTAAAGTTAAATTTATTTCCTTAATATGTGTGAAGTCAAAGTGTAAACTTCATTAAGGATCGGAGGAAGTATATATATTGACACATCTGGAGACACAAAATTTGTTTTGAAATTAGAAATACTACACAATCCCTTAAAACAACTAAATATTCAACCGTGTTTAATTAGAATGTAATAATGTTAACAATTTGAAATTATTAGTGTAAGATTTGTACGTTGTAGTTGTTTTTTCGTACCCTTCGATCTTTAGTACTCGGTATATAGCTTTGGGTTTTCTATTTATATATAACCGAATGGCCCAATAAACAGGCTAACATTGATTAAATTTATGTTTAATTATCTATATCTAACGGACTAGACTTTCAAACATGGGGACCAAGTCCAGCTAGTTAGTAGTTTGTCAATATAGGAGAAATGGAGCTTTAAAATGTCACTTTATCACATTCAGTAATCACTCCAAATCTTATCCATTACGAATATATAAATAAATAAAGTATAAAATATACGAAGTATATTTTTATAAAATATTTCTTCCAAACTACCCACTAGTAATGTCTTGGGTTGTTGGGGGTTGTGTATGTCTCGGCCTTTCAAAATATAACCGAAGGCTCCATATAAATATTTAAAATAAAGTACACTCGCATCATACATTAATGGGATAGTCCCGAAATAAGATTAAAACAATTTGAGAATTCTAAAATAGAACTGACACGTTTTTTATTCCCAAAATACGACTAATTACCGACAAGTTTAAAAAATACTGTCATGTTAGAAGTCTGGTATTGCCAAAACATGACACTAATTATTCCTATTTTGTGAATAAAAACATGGCAGTCCTATTTTGGAATTTTCAAACTTTTTTAGTGTAATATTCTCCACATTCATTATGAAATGGAAAAGTTCCCGAAATAAAACTAAAACAGTTTCAAAATTCCAAAATAGGAATGTCATGTTTTTTATTCCTAAAATTGAACTAATTACAACCATGTTTCGAAAATACTGACATGTTTGAA